GTAATCAACGTTAAAAAAATTTATGGCGGTGTTGCGGCGATTATGTGCTGCGTAGTCGTCTCGTAATCTCACAGAAAAATATACCTAATATTATATACGTCCTCAATACCTATTAAACGTAAATCGTAATATATTATTTTAACTGGCATGACCAACCACGGGCAACGGTTGTAAATCGTAACCGATTATACGAACGTAACTACTATTTACGTGACGAGTGACGGTCAATAGGTCGTTTTTCAGGAAGTAAATAAGTAGGTATTGTCTATTAATGGATCGTACGCTGCAGCGGTAGCACCAGCTGCTCGACGTCCGCTAAGGTCCTTTCGCGCGATAACATCGTCTGATAGCAAACGGTTTCGACGCATCCCATTGGTCCAACTTGCGTTTCCTCTTCGTCGTCCGTCAACAACTTCTGGATACGGACTCGTTGTGGCCAGAGCCGCCAGACGTCCGAGTACGAGTAGTCTGAACCACTTGTCCGCGCTCAGATCCGTCGTCAATAAACGACAATCAATCAATAAATTGATATATCTCGACTTGGGTCGTATCAATACTCGCTTAGCCGCCAGCGTCGCACAATATCATGGCCCGCGTTCTAGTCGGCGTCAAGCGCGTCATCGATTACGCCGTGAAGATCCGCGTCAAGCCGGACAAGTCTGGCGTGGTCACCGACGGCGTCAAGCACGGCCTGAACCCGTTCGACGAGATCGCCGTCGAGGAGGCGGTCCGGCTCAAGGAGAAAAAGATCGCGTCCGAGGTGATCGCCGTGTCGTGCGGCCTACCCCAGGCTCAGGAGTCGCTGCGCACCGCTCTCGCGATGGGTGCGGACCGCGCCGTCCACGTCGAGGTGCCGCAGCCCCAGTACGACGCTCTGCTGCCGTTGCACGTGTCCAAAATTCTGGCCAAGGTGGCGGTCGACGAGAAGGCAGACATCGTCATCGTCGGCAAGCAGGCCATTGACGATGATTCCAACCAGACGGCCCAGATGACTGCGGCCATATTGGGCTGGCCACAGGCCACGTTTGCTTCCGAGGTGACCGTAGCAGACGGCAATGTRCTGGTCAAACGAGAGGTGGACGGTGGTCTGGAGACAATCAAAGTCAAGTTGCCAGCCGTCATCAGCGCTGACCTGCGGCTCAATGAACCGCGGTACGCGACGCTGCCCAACATCATGAAGGCCAAGAAGAAGCCCATCAAGAAGCTCACAGCTACAGATGTYGGTGTTGACTTGGCGCCGCGTCAACAAGTATTRAGCGTAGAAGATCCGCCCACCAGACAGGCTGGTTCTATTGTGCCCGATGTCGACACTCTCATTAYCAAGTTGAAAGAAAAGGGTCATTTGTAATGAGACGCTGATAATACTGTTGTTTTAGTTGTAACAAATTCTCTATGAGGTTTTCAGCTGTTACCAATAATATTTTTTTACAAAATCGATCATCTATAATATTTTTCTTGTAATTCAAAAGATAAAATATTATTGGTACCGCATTCTTTTTTTACATTTTGAAAAATTCATCGACTTATGTCATACTTATTTTTATCAATTTATTGTTATTTGTTAGTTATATAACATAATATATTTACTCATTATATTTTCTGGTTATAAACGGTTTTTTCTTTAAATAAGTATGCACATGGTAAAAATTTGTCTATCCTCTACTACTACAAAATTCCTAATTACGTCACTGTGTTTATTTATTTCATATACCTAGTTTGGTGAATTTTAAAACATAACTTTATAGTTGTTTGTTGTTAATTATTATTAAAATTAAATGACCTACTCCCATATTATATGTATGCATATATCAATCGATTAAAATCTGTAACTAGTTATTGTACAGTTTATTATTTGCAGTTAACTTAATTTTGATGAAAAATAAAAATAATTAAAAAGCCATTATTTATTTAACAATTTTAATAACTGCATTAAATATTCAATGTTAAAAATATACACTTAAAATACTTATATTTATCAAGACAAAATGTATTCAYTACAATTATATAYTGTTAAAAGATCCATATGACTTTTATAAATTCAAATGAGATTATATTATATACAAATTATATATTTTCTGAATGTTGTAAAATGCCATACACATTTTACATAATGTGGAATGTACAAAAATATATTTTCATACGTGTTTTAATGACTAATTATTGCTAGAATTAGATATCAAATTTTTTTTTATGAGACTAGTATATTGTTTCAAACTAGACAATGCGGCTGTACTCGTAACAAAACTACCAGTTGGATTCCTGGGTCTAAAAATATTCAAAAGCTCATTTCGTTCAGCTGCTTTCAAACCCTACAACATAAATGAATCATTCAATTTTATACATTTTATAATGCATTACTGGTATAATACATACATAATTAATAGCAATATTCAAAATAAAGTATGAAAAAACCACAAACCTTCATTTCTAATATTTTCTGAAATTCTGTCATATCAGATTCTGGTAGTAGTTTTAAATATTGATCGACAAAAGAAGTATAGTGTTTTATTGTTGGAGCCATTACTAATTTTAATATCATTTCTGCTTTTGTCATTCCTTTAACTACAACCTTTGTGTAACTGAAATAAAATTACAAYACAAAAATAAAATCGCAAACAACTTTTGTGATTTATGTTACCTAGCAGGAGCTTTTCGGTTATCATCAAGGTTCATTGATGGCAAGTCCAATAAAATTGTTTTCAATGAATGAGTATCCAACAACAATTGCTCAGCGCCAATATTTGATAACGGTTTGCACTTATACAAATGTTGTATAAATTTGGGTATGAAGGAACTAAAAGTTAAAATATGAATTATAATAATAATATATATAAGTACCTACTATTAAACATTTAATTGGTTAACTTTTTTTTAATTATTAGTTATTTACTGTTATTGGAAGATACTATTTGACAGTGGTCATAAACAGTTTTAAAATTGGGTAAGACCGTTCAATTCCCTCAATGCATAAATTATGTTTAAAAAAGTGGATGAGG